TTTATTGTTTGATAAGAATTGAGTAAGTAGAAATGAAGATCTAAATAGGCTACATCTATCTATTTAGGTACCTACCAAACGTACCAGACGAAGTCGAATTAAGTTTAGAATCGATGAACTTTCTTTTCAAAAGGAGGGTTTCTGATAATTTTCATTGACAGAAATAGCGCCAAATCGTAGGTATGTAATATTGCAAATTAGTTTGAACTCGTTAATGTTTCTAAGGTACATTTTAATTAGATACCTATATAATCTATGAAAACCTGTAGTTATAGGTAGATAATGCATGCTCTTGGTAATGATTTATTTTTGTTCCTCATTGATACTGAATGTGGGCTTGCACTGAAGTCAATGAACCTCCTAAGTTTAACAGGTAATGATGTAAAGGAACAAGCACATGTGAATTGTTTTAAAAATAAAACACAAATAAATGACACACTCGTATAAAAAAACAGGTCCTGTGCGGTCTCGTGTCCTTGTGTAATAAAACGTTTTTACCCATGCTAAAAGTTCTAGAATGATCTACATATAAAAAAATATTAATTCGCTGTTGTAAGATATGACGTTATTGTTCATATTTTTATGACGGTGATATTAGCATACCTATTATAAAACTTTCACACCTGTTATTCTTCGAAGAGGTTCGATTGAGATGTAATAATGATTGTGTGACCCAGTGTTAATTTTAAAGTAATTTGAGTTGATACTTCTAAACTTTATCGAAACCTTGAAAGATTGCAATTCGTAAATTACTTAACTCGTCGAGTACCGGTTTTGTAGACACAATTATAGAACAATAGGTTGCGGTCACCGGTGACCGCTTGGTGTTTGACAGTTTACTATTGATTAGCATGCATATTATAGCAATAGTGCATACTCATATTAGGTATTTCGGAGTGCAAATGTCATATCATAGTGCACACGTGCCCAAAAACCTCATGCTTATCATGGACGAAGTGTATGGTATGGTTCTTACAAACACATTATACAATTTATTAAAGAAACTCAGCATTAACTCAAAACGAGGATAGCAACTAAAGGTTGTGCAGTTCTCTGAGTAAAAATAAACTGGCGACTTAATAAAAATCGATAAACAAAAGTGATCTCTACAGCTGGCGACGTTGAATTTCAAGTATGCAAACGGGTACCTTTGCAGTTCCCAGATGCAAACTCATCTGGCACACGAGATGGTATATTCTATCTATAGCTACCTTTTTATCTACCATACATTTTAAATCCTAATTCCCTGTGTATAAGACTTAATTTTATCTGTTTCATAAGCTAGTTATCAAGAACCACCGCTTCTCAGTACTCGCAGGTGCTTTTCATAGATAGAGCTTAATTTACTGCCAATTATACGTAAACAACATATGGTGTACCAATCTCTTACCATTCGTAGACTTAAGAAAAAAAAAACAAATGAATACATTAACATTAAACTCCTAAATGCTATTACGGTGGCGAGGTGAGACGTGTGTTTCAGATGTGGGACCTATCGCGAAAAACGTCTTGTCACGTTAGAAGCCGCCAAAGAAAATAAGATGCATGGTATAATAAGACGCGGTACAAACTGCTTTCGACGTTCATAATTTGCATTATACAGCAAGATTTATGGAAAATGTGTTAAAAAATGCCAGCCCAGCTCTACAAACGTTCTACATTTGAAACCCTTTTTTTTAATCGTCAAAAGTTCACTCACAGTCTGCTTTTACGTGCAATATGGGAGCTCTTTTGGAATTTCATCAAACGGCAATAATGCCAGATAGAACCTGTCACACTGATGACAGTCGGTGAGAAAATAAAAGTACAAAACTTATCATTGTAATCAGTAACTAGGTCATGTATTGAGCCTTAGATTAATAATAAATAAATAGATAGTCTATTAAACAAATCAAAAGGCCGACCTCCAGCATAAAACTTAAGCAAAACAAAAGATATTTTATGAAAATTATTAAAGCAGGAAAAATAGACAAAAATTCGTTAGTAAGTGCGCATCACATCGAGCGGCCCTTGAGCTTTAATTTTTCAGCAGCGTATCGAGAGAAAAAATAAAAACGACGATGTCTTTTATAAATCCCCGAAGGGAAAGACGAAGAGGAATAATCGTGTCGATCAGATGGCCTGGTTCGCTTCAAGAGGTCCTTGGTTCCCGGCAATCTCGAACCACTCCTGCGTTTACAAGTTTTATATTATGACACGTCTTGCAAGACTTCAAAGCCGCGGGCGTGAGCCATTACAGGTCCTGGGGGCACGCCGCCGCGGCGGCCGGCCGGCAGCCGCGACACCTCCGCCGGAGACACGCCCTCCGCACCACTCCACTTACACTTCGTAATGCTCCGTTAAAACTTCCGCATTTTCTTGCCGTCATCGTCTCCTATATGACTTTGCATCACTTGAATCAATTTACTACATACATAAGTAACTTACAATATTATGCATGAAGTAACAGACTCCCATACCTATATGTATTTAAACTGATGACTATTCTTTATAATATTCTTAAGTAATGTTTGATTAATTTTCGCTGCCGCAATTAATGTCTTTTTAATTTCGTGGGTCCAATCGGCGAAAAAAATCGCTCTTATTAATATGAAAACCCTATAACACCTTGTGTAGGGTCATTGTGGCCTCTCCTGGTGCCGTAAAAATTACTCTTGACCCGTTTTCGATTCAAGAGCTTAACAACTTTGAGATTGCTTTGTTGTTTCTGCCAAATACTAACGAACTCCGCTTCGCAAAATTTTAATCTTGTAAACCTTTTGTTTTGTTTAATAATATTGGAGTATTTGTTTAGAGTAGGCAATAAATATCTCGGTAACTTAGTTTCGAATTTGCTAAGTCAAGTTTTAGGTTTCCGTAAACATGACGCAATTGGATCATTTAATAATGAACCGAGTTGAAAACGTTGCGGGCATAATGTAATCGCGCTGCGAGCAATGTATTACTGGATGTAGTACAAGATGACAAGTATAGCCACCCGGTCCAATTTATATGAACCCTTATTCGAGGCGTTGAGACGAAATCAATTATTTATTTATAACGAGACGGCCGTGGGAGTGGAGAAATTACTGTACATGACTCGGTTGTGTTATGAATATAGCGCCGTCACGTAATGGTGTCATATCAACCATTTGTGTGGAGTCAGGGGAACACCTGCGCGAGCGCGACCCCACGCTTACTCCGGCGGCGCGGTGCAACTATTCGTCAAACTTGCGAATTTATCTGTTGACACCCACGTCGCGTTTACATCTTGTATCCAATTTATTTTATTGTCTCAAATACCCTTTTTTATAACAGCTCAAGTGTATCGAACTTTTCGAGTTTTTTGGTCTATTTTCTTATAGATGTCCGGTTTTAAATTATTGGATTGGCTTATTTAGAGGTTTGGAATAGAATCCTATGGTTAATAGAATCATCTGTTCTGATGGACAAAAGCAATGACCACGCCCACTTTCGGACAGTGTATCGGAAGAATTGGTCCCATCGAGTCCCTTAACACAGTAAGCAAAACTATAATAATTGCCAGTTTTTTGCAGCCCGTTTTGTGTGTAAGTAATAAGTCAGTCCATTTATCCTATTTCTTTATTTAACTTTTTAAAGTATAAACTACCACCAAATCGTTAAAAATAAAGACATTAAGCCTAAATAGGATATTTAAGTATTTGCCAATTTCATTTTTTAGTAACTTCCATTGACCTTTTTTTATGAAATATACATTTTGGAGATTCAGTATTATTTCATCAGTTTTTGTAAGGACAAAATTAACGAATGTAAAGTTATGAGAATAATAGACTGTCCCCATCTAGACATGTAAAGAGACCGGCAGCCTTCAGGCGAAGTTAATATCTCAACTAACTCATAGAATAGAGCTTTAGAAAATTTCCTACTAATAATAGATGACGATGTCAAAATTAAAAGAAGTTTTATAATTTTCACTCACTTTCTAACAGTGAAAGAGTCTCGTGAATGTTCGATGTGACGGCGTGTAACTTTGCAATCCCTAACGTACTCGAGCGGCTATAAAGTGAGCCTGACTCGTTCTCCTACATTTTTTATTAATCTGCTGTAAAAGGAAGACTTTTACTACCTCAAACAATTTCAACATTTATCAATTATTTTATTGAATTCCTGCCAAAACACATTTTCAAAAGGATACGCCACAGTCCAAAAGGAAATATCATAAGTGCTCATAAATAATGCATAATATATGGAGGACCCAATCATCGGCGATAACCAAAATCGTAAAGACATTGTGGGAGGCTTATATCTATTGCAGAGACCCCTTTGTGTACTATATTATACCCAGCTACATGCTTTATACGTAGGACCTAATTTAGTTTATGATTTATTACAACTGTAGGTTGCGATTTTATAACTCGTTTCAAAATTAGATACGCATAATATTACATCTTTTTTTATTTATATTTTTTTAATATTCCTAAGTTTTAAATGACCCCAAAAAATATAAAATTATAATTTTTGGACGAGAAATAAACTTAAAAAAAAAGTAATATGTTAAATCGTTATAAGACATAGGGACATTAAAAAAGAATTATAATTATAAAATAAAATACATAATATAATAACAACAAAAATTTAAGGGAAGGAGAAGAATTTAAATTCAAATCAACAAAAATTTAAATAACAGAATATTGTGTTGGTTACACGAAACTTTGAAACAATTTAAAGTAATGGGAAACCATCGTCGTGCGCCACGGCAATTAGATATTACTTATACAAAATCGCAATGGCCACAAGTCACTCGCTCGGCATTGTAAAGCTTTAAATTTAACTTTTTAATTGTAAACAGCAGCGGAAAGGACGAGGAAAGCGCGCGAAACCCGGCAACCGGCAATGGCCCTAAGGCTGAAAAATCCCAACTAATAAACTTTATAACATTCGTAAAATCAAAAAGAACTGAATTTATAAAATAACCCCAAATAAAATAAAAAAAAAACAGACAAAACATAAAAAAAATATTAAAATATTGTTTTACTTACTTCAGATCATCAATGTCCTTTTTCATATCGGACACATCGGTATTATGCATCGTCTTAAGGATGGATATCTGCTCGGCTACAGCTTGCAGTTCATCACGGATTTGTATTTCTGCTCCAAAAACATTTAGCGCTACGGTTAAAGTCAACATAAAAATAGTTATGCACTTCATATTCGCGCACTACACGAAGTTCGGTGTGCGGATGCTCGCGAAGTAGACGACTGGCCCAAACGGCGGCCAAAGCTGAACTGAGCGCTCCGCTCCTCCGCGCCGCTGTATATACGACGCGCCGAAGAAAACGCGGACTTCGAACACGCAGATGCGTTCAACAGTTGTCCAGACGCCCACAGCTTACGTTGTCAGCCTTTTTTCACATTACTTAATGTGATACATATTTTTTCGCGCAATCTGTCAATAGACAGTTAATATCCACATTGACGCCTAAGCTAAGAGTAATTATGTTATCGCAATTATGTATTTTGAATAGTTGCGTAATATGAATGCATTACGCTATTTGTGATACATAAATTAACTTAAATTAATACAAGTAGGTAATTGTAGAAGTAAACAAAACTGTTGTAGACATTTTTGTTTTCCACAATTCGCGTATGGAACTTCATAATCATCAGATACAAAAGGTTAAAGAACTAAATTATTTTTCAACAGATATGGGACCACAGCACTTAGACCTATTTGTGCCTATGATAACCACCGTGGACTACCCCACCCTCCCTTTATATAAGAGTGTCTATAAGAAAGATATATGCAACAGTCCTCGTTTCTAGCCCAAATGAAGTCCAAGAAACGTGATATGGACTTAAACCTATTTTTTTTGGATATTTTTGTCAAATTGAGAACCCCCTTTTCACATTTTTTTAAAAGCAATATATATGTGTACGTGTATACTACCGCTGAACAAGTTGAACTTTTCCGTCTTCTGCTTCTACCAGCCATTTTACACAACAAAATTTCACGTCAGAGAAAAAAATGTATATAAGACATCCTCGTATATAATATTATTGTACTAAAGAACAATAATCATTATTATTATATATATGTATGTATAGGTATAATTAACTTCGTATATATATAAAAATTTCATTGTATTGGTGGACTTTAGAACTAGTAGCCTCGAGCGTAACTGGAAAATTCAGGCTAGACAAAATATTTACCTTCAGTTTAATGCGATTTGGTTGAAAAAGAACTAGCCTTTGATTGACTTCGTGAAAACTCCTGGGGCGTCTCAACGTGGACGAATTCAAAGAAACAATTATGTTTGGATCGCAGTATTAAGTTCTGTGGTCGCTCACGCTTAGGAGATAGGATAGGACTTTTTATTAATGCATTTATAGATATATCGTTTTTGAAAAAAATTATATTATGTTACAAAATAATATGTTATTTATATGTAAACAAGTTTATGTTACTCCATCTCGAGTACCTATAAATGTGAAAAACTACCGCTTTTACGAACAAAAAACGAAAGAGATCGTAACAGCTTCGGCTTAGTTGAAAATTAAGTTTTCTATAAAAGTTTAAAGCTGATTACGAAACGTGCCGACTACGGTACAGGAAGCCCGAGAAGATGCGTTGGTCCTATTTGAACTGGAGTAAATTCCCAGCACATAATACCTAGGTACCCACTGTTAGTTGAAAAACATACTTTTTTTTGCTCACTGCAACACGGCTGTAACTCATAACGACTTTGCAAATTGCATTTTTCATTTGCTTCTCTTTTTCGCAAGTATTTTTCACCACCTGGCAAGGATTCGTATTTGCCCACTATTGAGACTCATCTAAAGTTCCCTGAGCTGGCTATCCGTTTTTATTTACATCGCGAAGGCAAAGTGAATGATGCAAATTACCTTGTGGTAGGTGGTAGTACCTGATAGTAAATAAAAAATATAGTATGGTTACAGATTTGTATTTTACCTACTAGGATTTAGAATCAAATCTATGAGAATATTGTATGGCAAAAATTCACCATGTCATTTGTATTGTATTATTGTATCGAATTATAATAATAATTGCTTAAAACTAGACATTAAGTAACATTAGTCTAACTTATAAACTAACACAACAATTATCCTAATTAGTGATCAGCGTATCCTGTGACACACAGGCCTCTTCCAGCTTTTTCCACTCGTCTCTGTCTCTAGCTTTTCTTGGCCACGTAGCCTCTCCGACTTTTTTTATATCGACCATCCATATTTTTGCTCGTCTGCCTCTTCTTTTACCATCCCATGGATACCATTTTGTTACAATTTTGGTCCACTTTATTCTGTTATCTCTTGACATATGTCCTGTCCGTCCCAATTTTACTTACTTTATTATATCTTCTGTCTTAGTTATGGTTCGTATATCTTCTGATCTTATGTGATCTCTTTTTTGTAACGCATGCCGTACTTATTTTCTATACCCTTCTGATATGTTCTCAGTCTTAAAAGATGTTTCTGGTTCAGTGCCCAAGTTTGGCATCCATATGTCCGGCATGGCAATATACACGAGTTGAACACTTTTTTCTTCGCTGCCATGGCAAAGTATTCGCTTTTGAGTGACCGGTATCTTTTTGATGCACTCCTCGTTAGATTTTTAAGTTTGTTTGGTTTCTAAATGTAATGAATTTTCCTAGGTATGTATAGGTTCTCACATATTCAATAAGGCTGAATAAGGTAATGACAAACAGAGAAGAAATAGCTATAATAGTGAATGATAGAAAGTATCAAGTTACTGATATTTAATCAATCGTTTACTTTGACGAGAAAAACAAAAGATATGTAAATTAATCCCATTTTAATGTGTTAGCTGTTTTGTATATCACACGTTGGTAAAAGTGGTAAATAAAGTAGTAGGTATTTGAATTCATTCCGTTCTTGAAAATCGATTTCGTTGAAACACAGGGTTAGAGGAAAAGCGATTTTGAAGTCAATTTGGATCTCGCAGCTGTATTTTGTACCGGCCGCGCTATTTCACGAAGCAATCTTTGCAGTCAATGTAAAATAAAATCGTCTCCCCTAGTCCAAAGCTATTTGCCCTATGAATTCTCCGAAGTACGTAGAGCTACTGCTCTACGATACCTACTATCTACCATATCTACCATAGTAGCACTGGCCACTGTGTCAAACACCAAATTTATTTGGTCATAAATTGTAACCAATGTAACACATTTTATGAAGTCATTGCAACTATTGCTCTTGTGTAGAAAACGCCCAAACTCAACTATATACATAGGTAATGTAAGATATTTACTTACCTTTTTCTAATGGTCAAAGAAAACGTAATTAAAATTTATTATAGTACAATGTACTATGAGGCATGGCAAAGTTCTCAACATTGCAATGGCTAATTGTTGCAAATATTATTTACATCAAGTTATGTTACAAAACCAAATCAAGTTAATTTTGTTAACCAATTATGCTTTTATGTGACATTGTTATATTTACAGCACATATAAGTACCTACATACTTGTTTTAATGTGTCCATGTAAATGTAAGGACTTATTTCGCTTCAATAACATTACATGGATCAGACGATTATTCATGATTGGGTCTTTGACTGAATGGTTATGCAGATATTTGATATGAAGCCATTGAAGCTGGCTATTTTAACAGTTGGTTTCTCACGACCACGACATGTGCGGTTCGACCAATTTTTATGGATTACTCCACGAAGGTGTACGGTTACAAATTCCTTGCAAGTACTTACTACGAAAATTCTTTTGAAAGCTTAACGTGAGAGTAAAATTAATGTTTGCTTATTACCATGCACTGATTTTATGTCCACTGATTGATTTCGTACAGCGCTTTCTGTCCATCAGCAAATTAACATATTTTACTTATATTAATTAACACTTTGGCACTTACTTCAATTACTCATTGGCATTTACTTCATTCATTCTGCTGATGAGAGACTTATTAATCCCATGTCCATTTTATTAACTTCCATATCGGTTAAAGTAATATTAATTTGTATTGTCGATTTACGAAAACCTCAATAAAAGTGCTTACTTAAAAGAATAAAATTAATGTTTACGTAATTTTCGTGTCGTATTTAAGACGCCGACAAATAACTTCAAGACTTAAAGGGTATGTACGTACTTGTGAACTTAGACACCGAAGTTTTTATGCATGATTTTTTATGGGATAGGCCAGTAAACGATCATACGGATCATCTGATGACTGATGGTAAGCAATCGGTGCCGCCCATGGAGACCCGAAACACCAGAGGCGTTACAAGTGCGTTACCGGCCTTTTGGGATTATGAATTTCATTATTGTTAGGGATTCAGGGATTGAGGATGGTAATTGGGCCTCGTAACCTCACCCACACGACGAAGCACATCGCAAGCGTTGATGCACGTCGGTTTTCTATGAGGCTCATTCGTGCCTAAGCTTCGAAAAAAATGGGAGAGTCATGGCTCTCCCATCCTTTTTGTTTGTAATGTTCATGACATTTGAACAATTTTTGTGGGTAAGTAGAATTGAACAACAAAACTATTAAAACTTTAAATTGTCTCTTAGTTCATATAGGGATTTGTGAATAATATTAAAAGATAAGATTCACTTTTATTTCAAAAAACTTACGAACGAGGCGCGCGCGGAACGCGACGCGCCGTACGCTGGAGTCTGTTTCTGGTCGGACGGGGAGCCACCCATGCTCGCCAGAGCCTAATAAAACGAAGAATGCAGACATCAAAATTGTTGCCGGAATATTGCTAATCCAAAAACGCAGTGAAACTATACCAACTGACCTCAATATCAAAATCAGATGGAGAACTACAAGAATTTTTGTAAAACTGAAAAACTCAATAGTGTTTACTTTGCGTGACCCGGACATTGCCAGACTTCTTAATGACGGTCGACCATGGAGCAGCGTAGCTTATCTAAGTAGGTGCACAAAGTTATGAAGTTATTATATTTTGTACAAAAGGACCGTTGTAGCCTCAATAAAATAAAATAAAATAAATAAAATAAAATTTATTAAAAACAACATAGAACACATTTAGAATTACAGTTCGCTCAGATTTTATAGTAATAAAAAGTCTTAATAATAACACTCGTAATAGTTTACTTAATCTAGTCTTATACAATATACATGCGAGGAAATAACGTTCTAAGTATACAATATATAGGGATTACCCGAACTAGGTTTATTTAAACCTGTGTTTCAGGCTATCAATGCCAAAAAAATGATTTGATGGATATAATTATAAATAAAAATCGTATTGCACAATTATTT